CGTACGTCGTACGTACGTCGTCGTCGTCGTCGTCTCTCTCTCTCTCTCTCTCTCTCTCTCTCTCTCTCTCTCTCTCTCTCTCTCTCTCTCTCTCTCTCTCTCCTCTCCACTGTATTCTACGGCGTGCCTAGGTATATAGGTCGGATATTGTGATCTGACATACATTCATTGTCTGCTGATCCGTGAACGATACCGGATTCTCTACTGGAGAGAGTGAGGTGGCTTGAGGTAGGCAGGAAGTAGAGAGGGTACAGGTAGGTAAAGCTCTGTAATGATGTTATGTGGGAGACAAGTTCAGCATGGAATTTGTGTGTTCATCTGAATAAGGTAATGTAGTACTACGGCCATGTCAACCAGTCGTGAAGCCGACCGATGCGACGTCATGCCAGATCTATAAAAGGTAAGCCAGGCTGTAGGATCGTACTTGCAGTGAATGTAGGAGGTAGAGTTTACTTGCACATGCGTGAACCGTCTGTGCGTCTACACGGGTCCAGGTCAGACTACCGCCAGTCACTGCCACCACGACACATGTAACGGCGTCGTCTGCTCGCGCGCGCGCCTCAATCGACGCGCATTAATACGACCTCACGCACACCGCCCAGGCCATAATCGCCACTGCAACATGTCGCAATCGCACGATCTGCATCGCGCGTTGCTGCGACCCGCCATTCTTCATACGTTACGTGCTGCCGGCTTTCACAGCACCAAGCCATCAGTGCTCGACACACTGCTCAACCTAGCCGAACGACATCTCGTCCTCCTCGCGTCTACCACCGCACAGCATGCCGTCTCCAGTCACAACGACCCCGTGCCAACCATATCCGACGTGCGCATGGCTCTGTCGGACTGCGGTGTGCTGATCCCGCTCGAAGGCGCCGCAGAGGAGGCTTGGAAAGAGCGAATGCGCATTCCCTTGGCAGAAATGGCAGATGTGCCCAAGGCTGGCAAGCAGCGTATGATTGCGGAGAAGCGGAAGCGAGATGATGAGGACACGGAAGACGTGAGAGAGTTTGCAAGATGGTACGACTCTAGTCAATATCGGGAGATCAAGCGAGTGGCAGGCCTCGAGAAGGATCTCAATGTTCCCGGCGCAGTGCCCTTGATCGGTGTTGGAGGCAGTGTGGTAAAGGAGGACGATTTCTTCACGGCATTGAAGAAGAAGCACAGTAAGTCTGGCGACGACAGCAGATTGCAGGGGACGGTGCTGGGAAGACCAGCGGACGAAAGAGACGTTGTCATTGAAGGAGGTCCAGTTCAACGTCTTCGGGATTGGCGACCGAGGCTGGAAAAGAGCGCTCAAGCCCAGGGAGTGAAGTGAAAGCCGACAGCAGCCTGGACTTTATCGAGTGGCCGCAGGTCACTAATACGAAGCATGTCGAAACGGGGGTTCCGTCGAGAGTGAGCTACAAATGCACCGGCGAGATGGTTGCAGTGGAGGCTGGCTGGCCTATCGATCAATACTGGCAATGGCACCTCATATTGTCATTCACACCGACGAAGCCCAATTATTCGCCTGCAGGAATTGCGAGAAGTGAGCAGAGTTCCAGCGAGATGCCGCGTGAGGGAAAGCCCAAGCTTCGATATCAGCAAGCTTCCCACATCGCAGTGTGACGCCTCCTCGCTTGGGACTGTACATAGGCCTCATAGAAGTACCCACAAGCCGAGGTATCACATGCGCCTGCTTTGGTTCAATCGAAACCGAGTGGCGAAAGAGCATTATGCACACAGCGCTATATGTATCAGTTATATTCATTCTGCTACTGTGTAAACGCCTACAGGTGTTGCGTTCTTCGTTGGGTCGTAGTGGCTTGAAGTAGGTGTAAATGGATATCATCACGACGCTCGACCATTCGCCTTGTCTCCTGGCTGCTTTACCGCCTTTTTTGATTGCAGCTTCTTCAGTTCCTTTTCGATTGCATTGTCCAGTCGAGACTTGAGTTCAGGGCGGTAGCCCAACGCAAATAAAACCTCCAACCATACAAAGAACGGCGCCAGAAAGATTGCTTGCACCAGATTATCGAGAAGAGCCGGAGCTCGGCCTTCGAATACACCATGCCCTATAAACTGGACCAGCCAGGACACTATGTGAACGCCGATGGCAGCGTAAGTGGCCTGCATGCCGTACGTGGATGTCAAGTGGTTGGCGTAGGCCGTGCCTCCCAACAGCAACGGTGCTAGCATGGCGCCAGCGACAGGTTCCATCAGAACGTAGAGGGACGAGTAGACCAGACAGGCTATCGTCCCTAGATTGGGTGGTAGATATGGCACGGTCAGCCACTCGGGAATTGGTAGAGCCGGAGTGTTTGTGCCCTTCCAAAATCAGCCGCTGCATAATACCTTGACCGTGGGTGAGCTTACAAAAAGAAAGCCTGTGAGAAGGAGTATCGGTACGAAAACAATGTGAATTCCCACGTTGACCTACGGTTGTCAGTCTGAGCGGGGCATCGTTGTCAGGTAGCAGATCATGAAGTTACCGGATCATGATGGTATGAGCCATACTAAGCCGTGTGTCAGCGTCTGTATCCAGACTGGCGATATCCTTTGCTGGTCAACCTACAAATAATAGCTGTTTCTCGAGGTTCAGAGCCATGGCTGAAGTCGACGATTTCGTACTGTTTCTTGAGAGGCTCGGGGAGGTGGCAGCGACAATCTGACCAGATGGAGGGGAAACACAGGCAGATAGATGATAAAGGGATTGTGGCTCTTAGTCTCTCGGCCCCCGCAGAGTGGGCAGCGTGGTTGTTAAGCGACGTGTGAGATGCAGCGGACGCAGGAAGTACATAGGAGGGACATGTAGCGACTACCTCCATGGCGCCAAGGCTCGGAAAAGTTGAGCGAACAAGCTCCGATCGATCCCGTGCTGCCTGTGGTGTGAAGACTTCGCAAGCTCTCCGACCTCACCATCTCCATCACCCACCCTCTCCGCTCACAATTCCATCCATCATCTGCTGAGGGAGCAGCAGTCTACACAACCAGCATCCCGAGCATCATCACAATGTTCAGAACCGCGCTCCGGTCGAGCGCTCGCGCGGCCGGTTCCATCTCCGCCAGCAGCAGATTTGCAGCCGTACGTACACCCTTCCGCGCCACCAGCAAAGCTCCAATGCCGACCCATACCACCGCCGACGAGCTCAATGGGCTCGTGTCTGCGCTCCGAGGCCTTCGACAGCGGTCTGGGAGCTGCATTGGAGCTGCGCAGGCCCGCGCCGCACGCCCGAGGCACACAGGGAGCGCGCGCTAACCTCACGTCTTTTTGTTTGCAGCAACGCACCACTCCCGCCGTCGTCAACGCCTTCGCTCGTGGCTATGCCTCCGAAACCAAGGCCCAGCCCACCGAGGTGTCCTCCATCTTGGAACAGAGAATCCGTGGCGTTCAGGAGGAGACGAGTCTCGCCGAGACTGGCCGCGTCCTTACTGTCGGGTATGCGGTCGAGTCAGGGGATACAAAATGGATAAGCACATGTGTACTGACGGATGCGCAGTGATGGTATTGCTCGCGTGTACGGCATGAACAACGTCCAAGCTGAGGAGCTGGTCGAGTAAGCTATTGGCATCCCCAGTACAAGGTCACGTGAAGACGGCTAACTGTGGACAAAGGTTCGCATCTGGCGTCAAGGGCATGTGCATGAACCTCGAGGCCGGACAAGTCGGTGTTGTGCTCTTCGGTTCCGACAGATTGGTCAAGGAGGGCGAGACTGTCAAGCGTACCGGCGAGATTGTGAGTTATGCAAAACACTGCATGCCGCGATTGGAGAAGCTAATGCTCTCTGTAGGTCGATGTCCCAGTTGGTCCTGAACTTCTCGGCCGTGTCGTCGACGCCCTCGGCAACCCGATCGATGGCAAGGGTCCACTCAAGACCAAGGAGCGCCGCCGTGCTCAGATGAAGGCCCCTGGTATCTTGCCTCGACAGTCTGTCAACCAGCCCGTCCAGACTGGCCTCAAGTCCGTCGATGCCATGGTGCCAATTGGCCGTGGTCAGCGTGAGCTGATCATCGGAGATCGTCAGACTGGCAAGACTGCTGTCGCTTTGGACGCCATGTTGAACCAGAAGCGCTGGAACGACGGCACCGACGAGACCAAGAAGCTTTACTGCATCTACGTTGCTGTCGGTCAGAAGCGATCCACTGTCGCCCAGCTCGTCAAGACACTTGAGGAGCAGGATGCCATGAAGTACTGCATCATTGTGGCTGCCACGGCTTCCGAAGCTGTAAGTGCATATCAAATGGTCATCGCGACCACTGGAATTCTCTGCTGACAATTACCAAGGCACCTTTGCAATACCTGGCACCTTTCTCTGGATGTGCTATGGGAGAGTGGTATGTCAAAATTGCCCCCGATACTAAAACTTGCTGTTTTGCGATCAGCTTCCCTGCACACACTCCCCTCCGTCGGTCTACCCTATGAATCCGCAATCTTTGGCAGCGGATTCGAGGGTCATATCAATCACGGATAGGCACACTGCAATCTGCCGGCATGAACTTGAGCATCTGATTTCGTCGCATCGCCCTCAAAGATACCCGTCAACTGCATATGCTCACTATCATTTCCAGGTTCCGCGACAATGCGTCCCACGCAGTCATCATCTACGGTTCGTTTTTGTATCATTGTGTTGCCGTTGTTGAACATTTGCTGACTTTCGAACAGATGATCTTTCCAAGGTATACTTGACCTCTGTGCTTCATCACGCGATACTCTACTAATTTCCCAATAGCAAGCCGTCGCCTACCGTCAAATGTCTCTCCTGCTCCGTCGTCCACCAGGACGTGAGGCCTACCCTGGAGAGTAAGTACAGCCGCCGAAATATATGCAACATTCTTGCTAATGGCTCACCAGCGTTTTCTACCTCCACTCTCGTCTCCTCGAGCGTGCCGCCAAGATGAACGACAAGTTTGGTGGTGGATCGCTCACGTCTCTGCCTATCATCGAAACCCAGGGTGGTGATGTGTCCGCATACATTCCAACCAACGTCATTTCCATCACCGATGGCCAAATCTTCTTGGAGTCCGAACTCTTCTACAAGGGTATCCGTCCCGCCATCAACGTCGGTCTTTCAGTCTCCCGTGTCGGATCCGCCGCTCAGCTCAAGGCCATGAAGCAAGTCGCTGGATCTCTCAAGCTCTTCTTGGCTCAGTACCGTGAAGTCGCCGCGTTTGCTCAATTCGGTTCCGATCTCGATGCTGCCACGAAGCAAACCCTGCAGCGTGGTGAGCGTCTCACGGAGCTTCTCAAGCAGAAGCAGTACCAGCCTATGGCTGTCAACGAGATGGTGCCTCTGATCTTCGCCGGTGTTAATGGATACCTCGACAACCTTCCCGTTGACAAGGTGCTCAAGTGGGAGAGCGAATTCTTGAGCCATCTGAAGACCAACGAGAGCGCTATTTTGGACCAGATCAGCAAGGAGGGTGCGCTGAGCAAGGAGCTCGAGGGCAAGCTCAAGGACGTTGTGCAGAGTTTCCTCAAGAGCTTCTCGTAAAGCTAGACTAGTCCCTGGGATGGGTCGTGTATAGTAAAAAGGCACGCTTGAGCTCACAGACTAAAGAGAGATGGAGCAAAAGCGCGGCCAGCAAGCGACGTGTTGCATTGTAGATATGATGCGAGAACTGTTTCCTTTGTCTGTGAGCGGCATTGACACTACATGAATCGTCCAGAGACCCTTTTTTTTCAACATCGGCGTCACTCGTGAGACTCGAAGCAGTCAGTCCATATGATGCACGCAACATACCTAGGTACACACGTGTATCTACATGCCTTGGCACCTATCCGCCATGAATGTCTCCCATGCAGAAAGAACCGGGACGTTGCGAAGATGACGTACTACATGTATTTCTACCAGAGCGAGGCTGAGATGCAAGCGAAAAGGGTACATGACATGTACCTACAAATGTCGACGACGACGACGACACTCACACTGCACACACGCAACTCCCGCGCTGGCACGAGAGGGAATTCTCACACAGTAACTTGTCGTCGACGCCGTGCCAGTTAATACTCGCTACTCCCGGCCCTATCTCCCCCGTCACGCCGCAGCCGACTCGGATAGTTGTCGGGACAAGCAGCAGCTGTACACTAGAAGTAGGTAGAACTAGACTCAACTGGCACCTTTAGCTTAGAATCCCTACTCCACTCCCTCCACGCGGGACACCAGAACGTCCAACCGACCGCACGCACGCACACGCACACCTCGAAACCGCATTAATTCGCACCAACAACCTACTCCAGCTACTTCGTCGCCGCCCGCCTGCCTTGCCTCCGCCGCCGACCCTCACCGCCCCGCGCTCCACCCCCTCCAGCGCAAGCCACACACCGCCAATATGTCGGGCGAGGCGTGGTAAGTGCACCGCACGCTGTGGCAGCATGACAGCGACACCGACCTCTCCCGCCCCGTGCTAATGTATGCCCCCCGTGTGCAGGTTATTCCTCCTCGCAGTGCTGCTCAATGCCGTCAATCTGTTCCTCCAGGTCTTCTTCACCATCATGTACTCCGATCTGGAATGCGACTACATCAATCCTATCGACCTTTGCAACCGCCTGAACACCTACATTGTGCCCGAAGCCGGCGTCCACGCCTTCCTGACAATACTGTTCCTGATCAATGGCTACTGGCTGCCGTTGCTCCTGAATCTGCCATTGATTGCGTGGAACGGAAAGAAGTGAGCGCAGCACGAGACAGACCGCAGGACATGGGACAACCACGGCTAACTAATCGCGTGTCTTACAGGATCTACGAGAACCAGCACTTGCTGGACGCGACTGAGATCTTCAGGAAGCTCAACGTGCACAAGAAGGAGTCGTTTGGCAAGCTCGCCTTCCATCTGATCATGTTCTTTTTCTACCTCTACTCCATGATTGTCGCTCTAATCCGGGACGAAAGTGGGTAGATGTGGTTCCGATTGAGATGCTGCTCTGACTCGCCCTAGGCGGATCGGTCAACAACGCCCGCTTGCCCCAATAGACGCGATTGCAGACGTGGTTGGCACGGAGTGGGACTCGACCAATTCAGTCCATCGATGCACGATCGTGGTGGCAGAGGTGTAATAGGAGACAGATAAAAGAAGAGGATGGTTTCGGCAGCTTCGTGAGCAAAGGCACGGCAAGTGACGATACAGACGAGACACGACGGGTGCGCATTGGGAGGCCGTCTGCATGACATCTACAGTGTTGCAGCAGGTGGGTAACTCGAAGATATCTGGGAGATAGAAGGTATCACTTCATGATATTATTCATGAAGATGTGAGAACGACATTTTTCCCCGACATCCCAAACACTCCTCTGGCCGTACGCCCCCAGTCGAATTGGTCACAACCTGAAGTACCAGTGTCGACATCACCTCACAGCTCTCAGCGCGTACCAATGTTGCTAACTCAGAGTGACGCCCGCAAAGGTGAAGCTGCGATAACGACTTTGTCTCTCTGTCTGTCAACTCACAAAGCCGCTGCGAGAGAAACCACTACGAAATTTTCGTCTTATATATGTACCCGTTACCTTATCTACCAATGTCTGGCGGCACGAGGATGCGAAGCTAGGTTAGGTAAGATAAGGTACAGTACCGTACCTGGTAGGTAAGCATATGTACGAACGTCAGGGACTCTAGGGGAAAATATGCAACAAGGTTCATGTATTGGCATTGACCACCAAGAATTTCGGCGGGCCTCTTATATGATGAATAGTGCCATGCATCTCCCTTAGTTTTATTCGTCATCCATTATTAACTACTTGGTAGCAGGGCAAGTTCCTGCCACTCCCTACCTACCTTACTGTTTTCAAGTCTCATGCGAAACCAATGTCTTCGGTATATCCATCTGTCGTGGAGGAACAGTGAAAGAGTAAAGGTATTCTTTGATTATATCATGCTAGCCAGAGCGGCTAGGGCGGCGAGAGTATCATCATCATCATTATCAGCATCAGGCATCGCCAACCCCTTGTTGTTGTTGTTGTTGTTGTTGTTGTTGCAACTTGGCAGGCGTGCTCTGTGCGCTTCGCATCCTCTCGCGCTCTTCGTAACGAGACATTTGTGCGGCCAGATAGTTGTCGAACGGATCTGCTTCGCCATCGAACCCTCCGGATGCTGCCGTGGGAGGTGGTGAGGGGGAATTCGATCCGCGGTCCTTTTTGGGGGCATCGGTGTCCGGCTCGTTCTCAACATGCTGCAGGATATTAGGCCGCGTTCGCCATTTGGGCTCCCCTTTGGTCCATTTTAACAGCTTCGATGGCTCCACATCTTGCGCCATTGCCTCTTTCACACGCAGATCCACATTGCTCATCATCTGATCTTGGTCGGCATGTGCCAGCTCTGCTTCCAATGTCCCCTCAAGCAAGATCTCCTTTAGTTGCCATTCCTCCCGCTTTTGTTGTTCCAAAGCTTCTACCTGCTTCTTCAATTCCTCCGCCTCTTTCTGGGCCCAATGTACCTGCCGCCGCAGCAGCCGCATTAATTGATCGGCCGTAATACTGCTTTCCCATGCCGTGAAGTGAATGTCTGGCGGATAATGGATCATGAATCCAGGCTGCCCGGTAATCGGGTGGTGAGCGGGTATGTATGTGATATTGTCATTGGGAGGCGAGGGGTTGACCCAATTGCCGTCCTCGTCGTGCGTGGGGCCGGTGTCTTGCACAAGCGCGCTCTTTGTGCCTCCATTGCTCTTGACCTTGAGGGCTTTGCCCTTGCCTGTGACGGGCACTGCTGAGTCCGTGCCTCTCACAGGTTCGGGCTCGTGCACGGTGCGCATGTGCTTGGCCAGCGCATCAGAGCGAGTAAAGGCCTTGTCGCACTCTGGCAACTGGCAATAGTAGGGCTTCTCCTTGGTATGACTTCGCATGTGGGCCTTGAGCGCATACCCGCTAGGATGGTTGCTCGTTTTGCGCTGGCATTCGCCCCATTCGCAGACATACTTGGTCTTCTTGGGGCCTCCCGTCGCGCAATGCGTGCTCTGTACGTGCTTGACCAGGTCATCGTTGTTTTCCGCGGTGCCAAACGCGCAATCTCTCCACAAACACTGTGTCTGCGCTTGCTCTCGGATGCTCCATTCATCATCGTTGGGCGATCCGGGCGCGCTGCTGTAGCCATCGGACGAGACACTGAAGCTCTCGTCGTCTTCTTCGGGGTGCGGCGTCGCCGCTTCAAACGTCGCCAGCGAAGATTGAGCCGTCTTGCGACGCTTGGAGGGCGGTTGGTCTGCTTCGTTGTGCGCGATGTCGACGCTGGGCCGCGACGAGGGCGGCGCCGGTGTGCTCAGCCGGTCCTCGGCGTCAGAATCGACCGACGGCGGATCGGAGAGATCGGATGATGCTGGAGAATCGGCCATGATGAAATGCAGGTGGGTTGGTGTTGTCTACAAAGCAGAAGGATGTTTGTCAACTGGTCTCTACTGTAGAGAGTGCGCTCAGGTATGTACCTCCTACCTTAATGAGCCTTAGCTAAGCTGCTAAGACACTCGGGTAGGGTAACCCTGATCCCATTTCCGGTATAGTGCCGGCAGTCCCCACATAGACCTGCTTCACCTACTCTGCATGTGAAAAAGTGACGATACCTACCTACCTTATGACAAGGTGACAGAAGAGTCTCGAGCATACTTTCTCACCCTTGATACGAATGTCCACGAAACTCTCAGAAAATTCAGGAGCAACATGTCACAGGTCCCCACCATCGATATACTGCTCAATCTCGTTCCCGAGCGACCAGTAGTCGTGCTCGAAAAATTGCGAGCCCATCCCGCTCTGGCCCACAAGCAGGATATGCATGGCTATAGTCTTGTTCACGCAGCTGCATCTTACGGTCATTCAGAATTACTCAAGGCTCTGATTGAAGACTTTTCCGTCGATCCTAACATCAAAGACGAGGATGGCGAAACGGCCTTGTTTTCTGTCGAGGATGTGACCATGGCGAAAGAACTTCTCGATCTGGGGACTGATCCGCAGTCACGCAACGATGAGGGTCAAGTCGCTGCTGAGAAGCTCGCGGACGATGACGAGCAACCGGCCGTAGCTGCGTTTTTGAGGGACGTGGCAGGCTCTGCAGCGTCTGGCAATGGTCTGACCCCTCTGCCCAACGGCGATGCCCACTCAAGTCATCATCCCCCGCCTCTACCAAATGGTCTTGAGCTCAACATTGGGACCATGATGCCGGAGGAAGAAGCCGCAGATCCGGAGTTCAGGAGACGAATCGAGGAGCTCGCAGCAAGGAGCGACTTCGAGACAGAGGAAGGTCAGCAAGAACTGCGCAACATCATCATGGATGCGCTCTCGGGATCAGCAGGTGGCGATGCGCAGGGGCCGCCGGCGTCGCGAAGACGGATTGATGGATCTGACCGCACTTGATATCAATTCTTTCAAATGTGATCTTCTTTCAAGCACTCGCGCCCGCTGGCTGACTCCACATCGCTTCCCGGCTTCAACTCTCAGTCTCGACTTAAAGCTAGTTTTTCTTATCGATGGTGACCTCTGTCGACCGAGATGGTAGAGGCAAGTCGTAGTAGAACGTATCTCGATATGTGTGACCTACTGACTGAACTACAGATATGCTCGTGTGGTACTCCATCATTCTGTGGGACATTGCCACCAAACATGGAGAAGAAGTCAACTGAACAGCAAAAATTGACGACACGCACGGGGAGACACTCGTGGTAGAGTCGACTGAACAGTGAAGAGCTCTGCACTTGATCGACAACAAAGTCGGAGATGGGGAGGCCTAGAGCACAGCGTGTCAGTGTGGAGTGGGCATGAGCTTCAATCAGTATATAGCTAGCCCGTCTCTGACGCTGAAGGAAAACTGCCAGTCGGCATACTACGCTGGAGCCTCATCAAAATGTAAATTTCGGCTCTAGTTAAGACCACAATGGCTCGATATTGATTGCAGTTCGAGCAGTACGTGGTAGATATGTTATATAGGTAGAGGGGAAGGCCGCCATTCTTGGCGCCGAAGGCCCGAGCTCTGATTCGATCCGACCCGACATGGCAACCAACGACGCAGCATTATGTGCTTGCTCTGTAGAATGGCTGCGAGAACTCGACATGGAGTCACTCAGAGCCACAGCAGTCTCCCTGGACTGTGTGTCCGCCCTGCGCTGTCCGACACTCTCGCGGCGGACCATAGTAGCAGCTGCTACTCCAGCAGAAGTGCAGCAATGGCACTCCTCAGGTCTCGTCCGCCACCACCACTACCATCACCGCCGACTTCATCACCACCACTTCCGCCCCACGCTTCTACGAGCAATTTCGCAGCCCGTTCACCTTCCTCAACTGCGCCGCCGAGTCGCAACGTCGGCATCGGCGACCAAAAAGCTGCCGCCCCAGCCATACTCCGGCCCTGCTCTGAACAAGCTGCATGAGCGCGTGCAGGCGCTTTCTACTTCAGTGCTTCGACCGGAGCCAGGCTCGGTCCCAATCCCAGCCGAAGAGCGCGTTCTGTATGTGCTGGAACAACTGGAGTATGTCGCGAAGCTGATACTGGAGGAGCGTGGCGCCGAAGGCAACCTGCGAGCAAAGGCCAAAGAGCACAAGGAAAGCGCGACGTCGGCATTGCTGGGCATTGTCAATGCCACGTCCCATCCCGCTGTCATCAGCAAAGCAAGCATCCTGCGTGCAGTCAGTGAGAAGGCCGAGGAGATTATGCGTCATCCGGATGTATTCATCACACCTAACGTCTTGAAATCGTACGTACAGCTGCAGAGTCTGCTACACGAGCCTTCGTCGTTCCCCGACGTATTTGACCTCTATGCGAGAAAGCCAGCACCGAAGCTCACGGGCGATAAGGTGACATATAGTGCTGCCTCTCCAGAGCAGATCAAGTCTGCGGTGCCTTCTGAAACGGCCCAAGAAGCCCTGGCAGCTGCAATCGAGGTACATCAACTCCCTCTCGCAATTGATATCATCTCCACGTCGTATTGTACGCCGGCCTTCAAGAAGGCAAAGACTTTCAAGCAGGCCGCGTTTCCTATCGCAGGACTTGCTGTAGCCCCCCTCGGAGCTTATACCCTGTCACAATCGTTCTCGCATCTGCAACAGACGATGGATACAGGGACGGCGACTGGCATCGCTTTCGCGGGCATCATGACTTACGTTGGGGCGGTGGCCATGACTGGGTACGTGGCAGTGACGACCTCCAACGATCAGATGGATCGTGTCACGTGGGCGAGCGGCGTACCTCTTTGGGAGAGGTGGGTGCGAGAGGAAGAGCGAGCTGCTATCGATCAGCTCGCTGGTGCTTGGGGTTTCAAGGACATAGATAAGCGTGGAGAAGAAGAAGGCGAAGAATGGGAGGCGTTACGGGAGTGGATTGGCTCGAGGGGCATGATTCTTGATCGTGTCAGCTTGATGCCAGGTATGGAGTAGCCCCGTCTTACCTTGCTACTTTGTGTGCATGCAGAAAGGAGCATGCATGCCCAAGCTAAGTCGGTCTCTGAATTGAATGAGCAGAAGACATTATGCTACATCGAAGTATTGCACACAGGCACGGCAATTCACGACACGAACCGATGACAACTGCGGGATGAAATGTTCTCACAGTCCGAAGATCTACAAACGCAGAAAGCTTGAACTGCGGTCAGGATCATGAGCGTGTCCTTCATACTGCATGCATCAACACAAGTGCAGTGAGAATCGTCACGCCATAATGTACCATCTTTCTGCGGGCGGCGTCGAACCAGACCGTAATGCTTACAAGTTGCGGTTGTGGGTAAGCCGTTGAAAAGTGAAAGAATGAAAGATACCCACTGAGCGACGCATCTCGGGCGAGGTCCCGTTCAACGCATATGCAATATATGTCTGCCCCTCAACATCGACGCGCAGTCCCATGAAGAGCTTCCGAGATGGGTACAGGATATCACATCTCTGGCTTATATGTTGCTCGCTCTTCTGCAGAGGAGGATGCGAAGAGATCCACCAAAGTGCATAAGCCCGCTTTCCCAAGCGTTGCGAGAAGGTTCTGAGTCGCTGTGGCGCTCCATAATGTCGGCTGAGCGACGGAGGTGTAGAAAAATCACGTTTTGTAAGGGCCACTGAAGATGCTGAAGCAAATTGCCACTCTACGCGGTACGCGAATGACACACGAGACGCCATCTCTTGCTCGCGCCGCGTCTAGCTCATTAAAGTATAAGCGTCGATCTTTTCCGTCTGCCGCGACGCACGATTTCTCCAGCACTGGTCAGATCTCTTCCCGGCCGCTCTACCCGCCCTACACTTCTCCATTCTCGGCTCTTCATGATGCAACGATCGCTCCAAGATGCAGAGATGCAAGCGTTCCTGACTAGACAACCCGTAGCCGTAGTGACGGTGCGGCGCAACATTGAAAAGTGATAATAGATCGCGCGTGGCCGAAGCCCCCCAATGTTCATTCAGTTAATTGTATTTGGTTGCAATGGTTCCACTACCGAAGCACTGGGTGCTGAACTACTCCTACGATAACGATGGCGGTTGTGCTCTTACTGCCCTGGTCAACGGAGAGCGTTTGCATGTGACTGTTGATGTGAAGGAACTCCAGGATCGATCCAAGGCTGGGAAACAGATTAGACGAGAGTATCAGAATTTGCTGTATCAAGTCCAAGCAGAGGCCTCTGGCGAAGTGGCCACACATCAGACTGCTCCCCTCTTCGTGCAAGAGGATGAAGCAGACTCTTCGGACGACGAGGACAGCGGGGTCGATGTCAGAAGTCCGTCACATCGTAGCAATGCCACTGATGCTGGTGATCAACACGACGCTGGCCCATCCCAGGCACTACAACGTTGGATTCTGAAGCCAATCATTTCCTCGACATCATCGCGGCAGAATACGGAAAAGCGCACAGTACAGGACTGGTATTTCTGCCCAACACGTTTCTACCATCTCACAATTTCTTGTGGCAAGCTTTCTGCCTTGGAAGACGAACCTTCACCGTCCCTGAACAAGCGGATCGATCAACTTGTTCCGACCATTAATCTCCCCAAGTACATTCAAAAGCTGAATGTGCCTCGCTTTGCTGCTTCCGACATCACGGTTCTCGCCGAAGATGAAGGACCTGCAGACCAGCCGATCCGACCCACTCTCGTCGAATTCCGTGGAAAGGAGTACTTTCTGAAAGCCGTCAACAATGCCGAACCAGGTCCCACGAAACGGGAAATCCAAGTGATGAAGAAAATCGAGCAGGAGGGCCTCGAACACGAGCTTCGTGTGCCTCTGTTACGAGGGTTGGTACACTTTGATGGTGACGACACTGCGACGAGGATGATGGGCTTTCTGTTGGACGCCATTTGCGAACCGACGCCCTTGACGACGATGCTTGACTCCAGTGTTCCTGCCGAGAAGAGACGCAAGTGGGCCGAGGAATCTGCTAGAATGGTTGATGTTCTCCACCAGCATCATATCGTATGGGGTGATGCGAAAGGTATGAAGCACGGTGTGGTCGAGGACGTACTCGCCAACACTGGGCACTGGCTGACACTCATTGAACTTCTTTTTTTAGGGGACAACTTTATGGTTGATAAGAATGGGGATCTGTTCATTATCGATTTCGGAGGATCTTACACCGAGGGCTGGGTTGATCCCGAGCTGATGGAGTCTGAGGAAGGCGATAATCAAGGTGTTCGACGGCTTGTCAATGGCCTCGCCGATCCCGAGCATAATACCATTGCATACGAAGAAGATGTCGATGGTGATGAGAGTAAAGACGTTGATGGTGATGAGCGTGAAGACGTTGATGTCGATGAGAATGAAGAAGTCGTTTCATGCCATGAAAATGACCATCCCGAGTCTCTGAAGAGAAAACATCAGGACTCCTCAGAGGAAGAGCAGGTGGATGCGCATGCTCGAGTGGCGAAGCAGCAGAAGCAATCTGAGGACAATGTGCGAATACCATTTGAAACCGAGACGACGACAGTGGCTGCAGCGGCGAACGACGACGACGACGAGACTGATGAAGTGGTGGAGCAAGAGGAGGCTGCAAAGTACTGCTATTGCAACACTTCCGAATCCGGTGGCCCCATGATCGCATGTGACGGCGAGCAATGCGAGCGCGAGTGGTTCCACTTCAAGTGCGTCGGCATCGACGAAGCGCCAAAAGAGAAACAATGGTATTGTGATGATTGTCTTTGACTGCGGAAGAGTAGAAGTTGCTGCTCTTCAATTGTAATCGCTAAGCTACTATTCTGTATTGATACCAGGTAGTTTGATTATTCTATTATATATTTATATAAATTCCTCGATATAGTACAGTACCTTGTACTCTGTCGCTATTCACTCGTCCGTTACTATATAGTCTATCTAGCTTATTAGTATACTGCCGTACTATCGAATAGCGTTACTAATAATTTTATACAAAGCGACATATCTTTGTTATAATAAGTATCCTACAAGAGTTGAAGACAGCGAGGAGTTGGGTGGGTGCAGCAGGAGGCAGGGCAGGCAGACTTGGCGCCACTAGAAAAGTACCTGAACTAGCGTGCGACCTCACTTTTGCACTTGCCTCCTACTACCTCCTACCTCCTCCTTCCTCTCCGATTCCACACTTCTCCTTACAAACTACCTCCTTCATTTCAGAAGGCTCCCGGCGACCATCAATCAAAACATCCAACAACATGGCAGGCCCAGCCAAGAAACGTCAGAAGCGCGAAGAAAAGGCAGAAGGAGAATTGCCTCAGAAGAAATACTACCGCCAACGAGCACATGCCAATCCATTTTCGGATCATGACTTGACATAGTGCGTGTTCTTCATAAAATCTACCACTGTATTTGAGACGATCCATTTTGTGAGAGGGTCGGGACACTGATGAATTGAATTTCTCCACTATCCCCAAAAAACACAGCCCAGAATCACCAGACGCCATGGACTGGAGCCAGCATTACCCCCAATTCATCATTGAAGATGAAACCAACAACAGCACCGCAGCAGCAGCAGCAGCAGTAGAGCCACCGACTCCTCATCCAACGACAAAAAGAAGATTACTATCCAAACAAGTCACCATCGCAGACATTGGCTGCGGCTTCGGCGGCCTCAGTTTCGCCCTCGCACGCAAATTTCCCGACCAACTCATCCTCGGCATGGAAATTCGCACCTCCGTGACCGAATTCGTGCAAGACAAAGCGCGCGCCCTGCGCGCACAACATGCCGCTGCTGTTGCGAGTGAAGAAGGCGGAAGCGAAGGAGCAGGAAAAGCAGACTATCAAAACGTCTCCTGCGTACGCGCCAACACGATGAAATTCCTCCCCAATTTTTTCCGCCAACAGCAGCTCGACAAGATTTTCCTGTGCTTTCCCGATCCGCATTTCAAGCAGCGCAAGCACAAAGCGCGCATTGTGAGCGCGACGCTGAATTCCGAGTACGCCTTTGTCATGAAACCGGGGGGCAAAGTCTACACCATTACGGATGTCGAGGATTTGCACTGCTGGATGGTGGAGCATTTGCAGGGCCATCCCAGTTTTGAGCGTGTCGACGACGACGAGGTCGAGGGAGACGAATGCGTCGCCATTATGCGTGTAGAGACGGAAGAAGGCAAAAAAGTCGAGCGCAACAATGGCAAAAAGTACGTGGCAGTATTTCGAAGACTGGAGCATCCTCTCTGGACATAGTTCTGGTGAGACAATATAAAAAGAATATAGGGCCCAATCACAATTGGCGGAACAGATATCCTTTCCCTTCCCTTCCCTTCCTTTCCCTTCCTTCCCATTCCGTTCCTCTTTCACATATTATGGACATTAAGATTCGTAGTCTCTCTCTCTCTCTCTCTCTCTCTCTCTCTCTCTCTTTCCGACTCTCTCCACGCAAACCATCCCCTCGTCATGCCTGCATTCCATGCTATAAATTACATGAGGGATTGATTTTCCGACTCGGATCTCGTCAAATACGTCTACTAGATCGCTCGCAGATGTTCGACGGCATTATGTGTTTGTGGGTGTGGGTGTGGGTGTGGGGGTGTCGTTTTACAACATGCGCTCTATGCGCACAAATTCATCACATCGTCACTTTCTAAGCATTAACCAACAATCTGGAGACTGGCGCTCATGGGCCGACACTTGCGGGGCTGCTTGATGCTGTACCAGCCTTCTTCACCTTGCTCTTAAAATTTTCCGATGTGTGGTTATTGAATGTGTAGTTTTTCGGGGGGCCATCGCTGGTAGATTTGCGCGGAGTCGCAGCTCTTTTTACGTCCGAAGGGGGACTGTACTCGTGCACAAAGAGCTCGGCCGACGGTCGATGTTGCTTTGGCAGCTGCGAAGTGACATGCAAGGATGATGCACTTGCATTATTCACAAAGCTATATTGCGGGGATGGTTGCAAGGGTTGACCTGGCGATTGCGGCACGAATTGCAGCTGTTGCAGTTGCGGCGGATACGCCAAAGTCAATTGACCCTGCGCATTAACGATAGGCACGCCGTTCGCAAATGACCCCGATAGCTGCGGCGCAGACTCAGGGGGCGACACGGCGAATTGCGCCGCTGGAGCGTACGACGACGTGGCCATCTGAAATTGCTGCTCGGGCATGGACACGTCGAGGAAGTGGGCCGACCGAAGTGCCGGCTGAGGTTGCTGGAACTGCACAGGCGGTGCTTGCGAATGGAGTGGCAATGGCTGGGGTGGTGGCGGCATGAAGGCGTGTGCAGGGAATGTCGTCTGCACCGCTGGCGCGGACTGCGGAGGTGTATTTTCGGTAATGACCGTGCTGCCTATGCGGTGCCCCGCTTGCTGCCCCACCTGCTGCTGCTGCTGATGGTGATGATACATCGGCGTCTGTGGAGGTGATGTAAAGTTTTCCGTACCTCCGAGTGCAGTGGCCGAGTGGGCGACGTTGTGCTCGGCATCGAGTTCGCTGATGCTGGCTTGTCGACTGAATTTGCTGGATGACTGCCAGGGTGGGAAATGCGGTCGGGGTTGGTCTTGTCGAGCGCTGGGCGACAGAGGCGTCGGTGGCGCGAGGCTGCCCGAAGATACAGACGCGTTTCTTTGGTTCACGAGCATGGCCTCATTGAAGGTCCAGTTCAATGGAGACCTTTGCGCAGAACCCGGCGTGGATTTCATTACTCGGCCTTGCGCCACTCCATTAATTACATTAGAGGATCGGATCCGTCGCAGTTGCTGTGCTGGCGCCAAGTTCTGTGTCTGTTGACTGGGTGACGCTGGCTGCACCGCCCCACTGTACGACTGACTTCGCAAAGAAGCCAGGCCAAGCGCAGCAGGCCGTGGTCGCTGACGCCTCGCAGCGATGGTGCCTCCATTGCTCTGTGGCGGAGGAGGCGATTTGAAAGGACCAGTCTGTGGTGGCTGAGGTGTCTGAATAGCGAATGAACTCATATGTTGCGAAAGGGTGGTGCCAGTTTGTGAATCCCTTCGGACAAATGGCTCCTGCGAAGACCACGCCAAGAGCTGCTCGCTGTGGGCTGAGTGCTGCTGTGCTTGTCGCTGCGCCTCTTGGAACTGCTGATGTAGCTGATGGGGATCGATAGGTACGGACTGACCTGGCTCCCATTGATCCGTCGTGGACGCTGTTCGAGACCGATACGGATCCTCGGAATCCGAATTCGAGACCGAAGAGCTGCGGCTATTCACCCAGTCGGAAGTAGTGGTAGACAAGACCGCGTGCTCCTGCATGGCAGACGAGGACGGAAATACGGATTGCTCCGAAATGGAAGAGGGTATGCTTGAGTCGTTGCTCGACAAAGGTGCGCCTAGAGGAGCCGGGAAGGAAAAGAATGTGTCGTCCTTGAAGTCGTTGTGGTCCATTTCTGGAAAGGCTTGATCATCGAAATTTGCATTGCTTGCAAAGTTTTGCGGGATGCCATCAAAATGACCAGATTGTTGCAACATGCCAACATTGTGCGTAAAAGCATCGAATACTTCTTGCGTGAGAGTTCTGCGATTTAGTTCCTGAGGACTATCAAACATATCCAGCGACATGTGCGGCGGCGGCATGAGATTCCCATTGGTGAAGTGCTCCTCGCTATGCACTGGGTTGCCAGCATATGGTAAGTTGGTCTGTGTCTGCTCTCCCAGTTCGTGTTGAGTGAAGGGCATTGTATTCGAAACCTGATCGTCTGGCGCAGGCGGCATCATCGTGTAGAAGTCGGGCGGCACGAACGATGGGGACGTATCGGAGTCGGAGTTGAAGGCGCTGGGCGGATTTCGCACCTGTTGCGCATACAGGTTCAAGGCGCCCGCCTGCTTCTTTGCATCCTGTTTTGATTTCGCGCGGCGGTTCTGAAACCAATTCTGTACAATTCTCAGCCTGAAAATGATGCACGCCAGTGCTGGACATCAGCGCACTTACATTGACCTTATCCAGCGACACATTGAGTGTCTCGGCGAAACCTTTCTTCGTATTGGTGCTGGGCTTGCTTTGTGTCTGAAAATGGGACTCCAGGATATCATGCTGCTCCTTGGTCAGACGGGGTATAATATTGCAGCTCATCTGAGGCGGCATGGGCTGGCTCGCATTGGCGCCGTAGTGGAGAAGTGGTTGTGGTTGCTGTGATGGTTGTTGCTGCTGTTGTTGTAATAGTTCATGTTGTTGATGTTGATGATGTTGATGTTGATGGTGATGAGCATTGCCAGAGTGGTATCCGTGAGGGCCGGCGGGCGCCACGAACGACATGTCGCCCAAGCGCAGGCCTTGCGAGGGACCTGGTACAGTGGTACTAGGAGGTACCTGTAGGTAGGATTATCGCGATGGAAGCCTCCGCTCTTTCCACCACCTCGCGGGCTCTCTCGTAGTAGAAAGTGCGCTGCTGGTCCCGCCGCACAGCGCGCGTTGCCCGGTCCTTGCCCAGACGATCAATACAGTCGCGCCTCCCAGTGTCTGCCCGCTGATGTTCAGCAGGTCCAGGTACATGTACCAGTACACAGCGAGTGACACCCGGTACAATATGGTGCGCAGGATTGCACGTGCGAAACGAGGGGAATGCCGGGGTGGAGAGCGAGTGAGCGAGTGTGACGGCGGTGAGTCCCGGTGGACGAAGGGTGCGCTCAGAGGCGCGACGGCGGTTAATCGATGCAGACAGAGAGAGGGAGAGAGAGTAAGCGAGAGTGTGAGAGTGAGTGAGAGAGGGTGAAAGAGAGAGAAGTGAGTGAGTGAGTTGAGTGTGAGTGAATGAGTGAGACTCGAGAGAGCGCCAGGCTCGAAAGCGGTTAGAACTACCTACTTCATGGAAGGAAGGGCCGCTCACAGGCTCACAGGCTCACAGCCAGCGCATGCCGGAGAGGCTGACCTAATCCAAGACCCTACATTCATGTACAGGTACTTGTACCTACCACAGTGGCACAGCTGGGCTACTTTGGCTGCCTCCGGCTCCAGCTACATGTACCTACCAGCCTACCAGCCTACCAGCCTACCAGCCTACCACCACGAACCACGACTTACGACTTGCGACTGCGACTGCGACGGGACGACTTCCCACTTCCCACTGCCACCGGGCTTCACTAAACACTAGGTACTGTACCCGTGGACCTAATTACTACCTACCTGACCCGCTATCCCTGCCACCGCGACAAAACCCTCCCGTCCTGCGGGACCACACCACACCACAGAAGGGTCGGTATACAGCACAGTGCCGTGCAGTGCGGTCCCGTGCAGTGCTGTGCAGTGCAGTGCAGTGCCTGAAATAATCCTCCCACTCGGGCCAACTCCCACTAACAAGGTACTGTCTTTACTGGCAATCCCTGACAAAGAAAAGGCGCGTGGCGCGGCGGTGCGATGCGCCCCTTGGTGCCGCACGGCGCACGGGCTCTTGTGCGTTACCCACGTTCATTGAATGCCTCGAGGCGATTGGTACACCTGGGATGACCTGTGTGTGTGTGGGTGTGTCTGTGACCCTCTCTCTCTCTCTCTCTCCGCGTGTGTGGGTGTGTGTTGGACTGTTGGACTGTTGGGCTGTTGGAGGAGCGCTGCAGGTTTATTAATACACCGCATCCTCGTCGCTTGTTTTTCCTCCTCAGCCTCTGCGTGTCTGGGCGAAGCGCTTGTCGAACTCTGATGCTCGCCGACATGACACGTTCCGAGACCTGTTGCAGCCCGCTGGCCCGCTGGTTGTTGTTTGCTTGTAGGAGGTAGGAGGTATGACCAGCTCGAGCAGCTTGTTACCTTTTGATAAAATAAATAATTCAGATACCTTACTTCAGCACTGTCTGTGCACGGTCCAGTGCAGGCGAAAGTAGGTAGAAGTGGCCCTAGAAAATAGTGGGCACAGCTCAGCCGCTCTCCCGCGCGCTACGATCGCGGTCTAACAGTAGGTAACAACAGGTCAACAGCACACTGTGAGCAGGGCAGGCTGATGAACACACAGGGTCGCTCGGCGAGACGCTGCGCCGGCAGGCATGTGCTGTAGCTTGCCTAGTGCCCAGTGCTCAGTGCTCAGTGCCCAGTGCCCAGTGCCCACCTTGCTGTGGTCTGGAGCCTGTACATAGCTAACAATGCCACTCGCGGGTCGGCACTACCTCCTAGCTCTAGGAGGTACTGTCACAGTAGTTCCGTTTCGCCGACCCCCAGTGGCTTGTTATCATGAGTTGTGAGCATGCTTGGAAGGGCGGCCCAGACGGGACACTCGACGCATCTTCACGCAGAAGTGAACTAACAGTAGTAGTGGCGATGCGCTTCCCGGCCTACCTGCCATTATGCGCTACGAAAAAAAAATAATAAGTCGCGGAGAGGAGTCCTGGCAAACTCTGTCGTGGTAGATGATGAGTGTGCCGCACAATTCTGCTACTGCGTGGATAGGTAGGTACCTGTACCTTTCCTGCTTTGCCAGTCATCACTCATCAGTCAGCCCAGCCCTGCAGTGAGTAAGGTGCAGTAGTAGCAGCAGCAGCAGCAGAAAGGTGCGCGCGCACTGTAACCTGTTTTTTTTCTGCTGACAGAAACCTGCTGACATGCCGAACATCAGCGGACATGAGACTGATGGCGCGATGCTCCGATCGACGAAGGATTTCAAAGCGCTGCACCACGAAACCATTCTTCCGCTGGTGCTGGCGCTGGCGGTGTGGGATGGATGGCTGAGCGGTGGAAGCCACACTGATGATGATTGTGATGATGATGGTGATGATGATGATGATGATGATGATGATGAGATTGTGATGAGTGCACAGTAAGGTAATGGTTGTACAGTAGTGCAGAGTCTCGGAGCAGCTTTCCTTCCCCAGCTGCCGCCTCCCGCCGCCCATCTTGTTGCTGTACCTTGCAGCGGCTCCGTTCCCAAAGAGGGGTGTGTGAGTGTGTGAGTGTGAGTGTGCGAGTGTGTGAGTGGTGTGTGAGTGGTGTGTGTGGCTTGTAACACCTTTCTTTCGAGTCGCGCGCTGTGCGACGGCGAAATATAGCAACATCGTGTCCCATTCCCGCTGCTCTGGCGTCGGCGTCGATGACACACATGGCGAAAACGCATGCTGCTCACATGGTCGGAATGCACAATCCCATTCATGGAAGGGACACTGCATCGGAACTCGCTCCTGGTTCGCAAAATAACTCGAATCATCGATAACCATGTCGCTTCCACTTTGGGAGGCGCTGGAAGTGGAAAGGAATGATGCACATGCGCACGTGCGTGATGGCGGATCAACAACTCATAGGATGGTAGGATCTGTCTCTCCCGTCTCTCTCTCTCTTTCGTGGAGGTATGTCGGGATGCTGCATCTCGTGTCGCCCACCCGCCCGCACTGCCATTCTCGGGTACCTGAACCCGACAGATCTGCACTGGACTACCTGTATGTACTTCCTAGCATCGCCCGAGTGGACAATGATATAATCATCATTGCAACATACATGTAGCTTCTTACTCATTCGATAAGGTACATGTCAGGTAGGTCAGGTAGGTATAGGTAGGTATAGATTCTCGGATATACCCGGCGTGTATTCATCTCTCACGATCAGCAAAGCCAGTTTTCGTGAAGGCAACAAAGTTGGACGAATTTGAAATCTGTACACAATCGATCGATGGCTTGGGCTCTCGAAAGCTGAGTCTCCTTGTGGAGTATCATATTTCGTGAATGTCGAGAGATTTCTTGCTGTCTATAGTGATGACCTTTCAAAAGTCAGGCCCGCCATGAGCCTGCCGATATGATCAGCTTGCAAACTTGCATACCATCATGCTTTGCGAACCTTAGACCACCAGCGCATCTCTGATCTCTATTCGGGCTGTTCCGTCGTACCCCTTGAACTTCACGCTCCTCATGTCTCTCACAATAAAGTCCGCCCCTGCCTCCTTCAGGCTGCTCACCGTGTGAGTCGTAGCCAGCGCAACGACGGTAAAACCAGCGGCCTTTCCAGCTCGGACCCCAGCTGGCGCATCCTCCAGCACAAGAATCTCTCCACCATTGACTTCCCCTTTGCCAAGCAATTGTGCCCCCTTGCGGTAGCACTCAGGATGGGGCTTCCCTTTCGCCACCTAAACACATTGGTGGTCAGACAACGAACTCCTCGGTGGTACCGTCATTCTTCTTCTTCGGGGAAACGTCCTCTTACCTCCTCCGCAGTGACCATAAACCTCGGTTTTGCCAACTTCATCACATTGAGCCACCCTTCCACCAGCGGCCTCGTACCACTCGTCACAATCGCCCACGGGACTCCAGCATCTTCCAGCTCATCGAGAATCTGTCTCGAACCGGGAATCTCCACCGCGCTCTCGCCGTACAATTCTGGAATGCGGCCTTCTGCCGTGGAAACATATTCCCAGTTGGCACGTTCCGGAGCGAGCAAAGCCAAGACATCGATACTCCGTCTTCCATGTGACGTTTTCAAGATTTCCTCGCCCGAGACTCCGATTTCGTGGCCGAGTTGCTTCCAATGTCGCTCAATCGCGTCTGTCGAGTCGATGATCGTGCCGTCCATGTCGAACAGTAACGCGTGAAAATCGTGAGTCGTGGCCGCAGCCGAGAAATCCCGGTCTGCTTCATCTTGTACAGATCCCATCTTGCTTTCAATAATGTGGTTTGGTGGGTTTGCGATGGTCCAGTGGTGTACAACCAACCAAGTAGCTGCTACACACGGCGGCTTGAAGACGACGACAGTTTAAAATGGAAGCGGTTGTATTCAAGCAGACGGGAGAAACGTTGTTCCTCCCTGGGCGGAAGAGCGGACTACTGGATCAGGAAATGCCGCCAGAGATTCCTCCAACATCATGACTCTATCGGAAATGAGTAAGTTTACACAAAAAATACAGCATACCAGGGTAAGCTAAGAACGAGGTCATCGAGCCTCGATATCGTGTATGCACATGATCAAATGCTACATACATACGCGCCCTTCGGCTGAGACTGGCCGAAGCATGTGGTATTGACGAGGACAGACTCGTGTATAGAAAGGACGCATTTGCGAACGACGTTTGAGCAGATGCTCTCGTGCCACTCACTGCTGGGCCCCGAGTAAGTGCCCCCAAATAGCGGGAGCACTGCTATTGTGCACAAATCGCCGTCCTTCTCGCATCGATCTCCCCGACCGCACGAGCAACTCGAAGCTCGAGTATTTGTGATCCAATGACCATTCGTCACAGCCAGACGCAAGCATTGGAATCATGCCCATTGCATCTACATCATGGCTCGCAGCACGGCCATCAGCTACCAGCACAAGATAATTCAGCTGAACCCCCAACCAAACGCCGGCCCATCCCTTGCGCGTCTATGCATCGATTCGTCGGAAATATGTAATGCTTTTGTTTTGTTTTGAATAAGTAGTGTGCCCTATTGCCACTGGACAGAAAGGAAAGGCGCCTTGGAACGCCATGCTTGTTCGGTCAGCTGTTACTGAGAAACATCACCAGTGGAAGGGGCCAGAAGATGCAGATATACGCTCAACACAGTAAAGAACCTTCGAGCAGAGCTCAGCATATGCTCGCATGCAGCATACGACGTCGTCCGTTGTTCATGAAGCATTCGAAAACATTGTTGGGCAGCCATGGAACGCATGGGCTGACTGGCTGTATGCCAGCAGTAGAGTGGTAGCTGTTACGAAACCGTGTCTACGATTCGAGCCGAGACCTCAGCTCCTCGTCAACAATGTCGTTCAACTTTTTGCGGTTCTTGAGATTCAGGGCACCATTCCGCCAGGCTTGGCGGAGCTGTTTGAAGCCTTGTCCATGAGATATGGCTGGTTCGACTTTGACCAGCTCGACATAGTCCCTGACAATGTGGTCGCGGATTGGAGTGCTGCTAGCCAGTGCCTTGGCATAGAATTGTAAGAGGTTCTGCATGCCAGTGCTGTTGTTCCTCTTCTGCACATCATCGGTGGCATAGTACTTGAATTCGCTATACATGCGATGATTGTAGTTGCGAATCAAGAAATGCGACCAAAATTGGTAGAGTACGTCGAGATCGTATGGGCAGTTGCCTGTAGAAGCCTCATCGCGCTGCTTGAGAGCCTTCAGCCGGAGATGAATATATGGTTCGAGCGTTGTGTCTTGGGGAAGCGCTTCATGAGGCCGATCGCTGTTCTTGATCCAGAGCAATGGTAATTCATTGCTAGCAGCCTTTTCGGGCGAACGACTGTGGCTGGGACTGGCATGACGCGAGATGTCCGGCGTGGCGTGATCGCCATTCGTGGCAGACTCGCCATTGACAACTGGTTTTGGGCTATCATCGCCTGCCTTATCAAGCTCACCAAAGATGCTGCGGGTGTCAATGGAACCGTTAGAAAAGGTGCGGGCAGCGGCATGCTGTGGTTTTTGCAGACCAAGCTTCAGGATGACGGTAAGTGTGGCAGCCTGCTCATCTGGGAACACGTCTGCTTCGCCGTCCTTGGCATCAGCGATGCCATTCAGAGACAGATGGCTCGGAGAGAGACCATTTTCACGGATGGGTGACTTTGCAGCACGTCCTCGATCCTCTTCTCCACGGGCTAGATCTCCGTAGGCCTCATGCGCAGGCGAGAATGGGGCAAACCCTGGCACAGCACCATTCATAACATGAGTAACATCGTAGGAGCGTCGCTGAGTTCCAGAAGGGCCGACTGCAGCGGGAGTTCGAAATGCATCCATTGGCGGCGGGTACGCGCTTGCTGGCGGCTCGGGACGCGATAATGTTTCCGGTCCATCAGTCTGAGCTGCTGCCTCGCGCTGTTCCTTGGGCATGACAAACTGCTCCCAACCCTCTTGCCTCCGCAGACGATCTCTCCCATCTTCGCCGGTTTTGATCTCAATAGTTTCTGACCGGAGGCAGGCAGCTTTCAGCACGTTCGGGTCAGCCGAGAGCTGCTTGATGCGGTTGAAATTGATGATGACATCAAGGAACACGAATCCCTGGGAATCCATGTTCTTCCGCAGAAACATGTCCTTGAGCAGGTTGTCGATCGAAAAGTAATATTCGAGCTGTGTGCTGACCATCTCGAAGATATACTGCTGGTCCGCCAGCGGCGCGTATGGCATGGCGGTCATTGGCATGCCATTGTATTCATACATGCCAGGGTAGTATGGTGGGACCGGAGGAAGTCCTGACTGTGGGCCATAGTTGAATCGATTGCCATAGATTTGATCAATGGGAATGGATTGTGACCGAGACGCGCCGCGCCAACTTCCTCGGCCTGGTTGTGCGAATCCAAAGCTGTTACCACGGGGCGACTGATACGTCGAAGGTGAATGTGGCGCTGCGAAAGGGCCGGGTCCTTCACCGTGGCCGCTGACGAATGTTTGACCCGCTGGATGGCCATTGGGAAACTCGCGAGAGCCACCACCACCGCGACCACGACCAGTGCGCTTGCCACCGCGCGCCGACCCGGTCCACTCTTTGCCATTGTAGTTCTCAAAGCCGCGTGGATCCTTTTTGCTGTCAGACGGCACCTTGCGGACAGGGGTCTCACGAGGCGCATCTAAGCTTTCGCGGACGTCAGTAGTGCCGCTGTCCTTTGCTGCTGGGCGTGAGCCAGGCTCGAACATCTTCACATCCTGGCCATTTCGGCTGTCCGTATGCACCGGCGAGTGAGTGAGTTGAGCAGGTGTCATGTCCTTTGTTGGATTGTCACCAGTAATCTTGGCCTGACTTGCGCCTCTTGCATGGCTTCCTGCGCGTGAGCCACTTGCGGTGGTCTTTCGGGCGGGCTTCGCTGGGGGTGGCATGGACTCACGGTCGAGATCGGAACGTCCGCGAGGGTGGGTACTGACAGGCTCGACCTCAGCTAGAGAACCGTCCTTCTTGGGACCAGCACGATCGCCCTTGGCACCGTTTGGTCCACCACGAGCACCACCCCTGCCACGCGTAGTGGCACCACCGCGACCGCCACGCTCACCACCAAAGCCTCGCGGTCTGTTCATTTCTTCAGTGGCCCACACAATAGTTGGCGTGACTGGAATCTGAGTCCACTTCGTCTTTTCGCGTGGCTTGGCGCCCGCTTCAGTTGGAGCGTCTCCATTGACCTCGTTGCCTTTCTCGCCCGCAGCATCTTTGCGCTCCTTATCATCTGTCTTCTCTGCTTTGTCAGGCGTAGGCCACGATGTCTCGTCTCGGACAGAAGGTGGCGGTGCTGTGGCCAGGTTCGGCAAACTCTGGTGCTCTCGCTGCAGTTTGGCGGGAGCAGACGTCAATTCGGCGCGGATAGATTCTGTCGTCGCCTTTGAGCCATGTCGAGCATGATTCTTGTGTTCGATACGCGTACCTTCGGCACCTTCCGGCTTCTTGGTACCATTACCAAGCTCGGTCTCACGCTGGGCACCGGCGATGGAGTGCGCCTTGTTCCTAGTCTCTACCTGTGGACGCTGGTTCTCCTTGGCAATTGCTTTTGGCGCCTGTGGCACAGCGACAGATCTGGCCGGAGGTGGTGCAGCGCGCTTTGCCCAGGGATTCACTTGCGGTGGCGCTGCCTCCGTGTAAACGATTGGCTTTGGCTCTGGCTTGGGCGTCTCCGTCTCCTTTGCTGACTTGTCACCCTTCTTGCCTTTCTTGACTGGGCGCTCGCCCCCTTTGCTGTCCTTCTCACCGTCTTGACGCTCCTTTCGCGCCGCGATCCATGAGGGTTCCAAGTTGTGTGCTGAGTGATCAGACTTGGTCTCCCATGTGGTTTCTGACGATCCATTCGTTTGGGGTGCAGAAGCAGAGTCTTCGCTGTTAGTAGCTGTGCTGGGCGTTGCCACGAGGTCCGTTTTGGGCACAACGGCAATCCCTTGGCCGGGCTTGTTCTCCGAGATGGCGCGCTCAGCTACTTCGTCCTTGACAGGCGTCGGCTTCGGCAGCTCCTGCGAAGCCTTGTGCGGGTCGGTCTTGTCCTCCGCGGTAGCCTCCACATCGTCGGCCCAGTTACTGTTGGGTCCGAGTTCTGAAAATGTGCCGGCTGTGGGCGTAGCATTGGCGGAGTTGGCCTTGGTCGGAGGAGGTTGTGATGGCGCGGTCGACGTCCGGCCTTTGGCGGCCTGGGCGTATGAGAAGCCACTTGGGCTCTGATTTGATACAGCCATTGCGAGTGGCTCAGTACAGCTTGGTATGATACCTACCGTGATGCTCTGCCTTGTGGCTGTCGCAGCGCCCTTTTTCGGGTTTGCCCACTTGGGCTGTTTCCAAAGATTGACCAGCAGCCGCCGCTGCGTTTGTCTGACTCCTCGCCGTGCGAGAAGAGCTGGCTGCCGCTTCCGCCGTTTATTCGCTTCACGCTCGTTGCTCTATGTCAGGCCTGAGCCGGAGGGGCGGTCGCTGCGTCTTGCCTCGAATACGAGGGGAAGTCTGTAAAAGTGTCGATGGCCGGAATGGATATGCACACACGATATCCAGCAAGGGTGTGCAGGCAGAGTGCGCCGGGGGTCTCGCGTCGCAGTGGAGGGACGGCGGTGGTCGGGTGGTAGTGGTGGTGGTCAGGTAATGGTAGAGAGCTGGCGAGCGAGCAAGCAAGCAAGCGCAGTGCACGTTCTGGTGAATGCGGGCGATTAGCAAATACGGCAAGCGCGCGATGATGGAGAGCAACTGCACGAACCGAGAGGCAGGTACGACGGACGAAAGGTGCCTTGACCTACGATTAAACTTTGTCCTGCACCAAAGCCTGGCCTGGCACTGGCGAAAAAGATTGAGGCCGGGGGCGACCCTGGGTGGCTTCGTGCACGCAACTGCGGCAATGGGACCTGGCGGGCAGCGGAGGTGGTCGTCGGGTCCTCGATGGTCGCGGGCGACGGCGGCGGGGGATGGCGGTCGACGGCGAGGCAGCGGAGGAGGAGGAAGAAGAGGAAGAGGAAGAAGAACAAGAACAAGAAGAAGAAGAAGATATGGATGGCAGTGTGTGAAGTGCCGCCGCTCAGATAACTTCTCGGCAACTCCAGCACCACACAGAACCACGCAGTACTCTCTTCGTTGGGGCCTTGATCCGGGTCGAGCGCAGCACGAAAGGAAACAGGAACAGCGCGGAGCAACAATATCGCAGGTGTGCGACGCTGAGAAGGTCGAGGAAGTGGAGCTGTAAAAGTCTACAAGCGTGATGGTGCTTGTTTTTTTGGGCGGGCCGACTTCCCGTGCACCGTCGTCAGGTACCTTACGTGTTCTACCTACCTGGTACAAATGTACTGTTCATCCTCCATGTTCTCATCAGCAACATAATGTACTTGCACTGCTCTGCTCCTCCCTCGGATCCTGTTGTTGCACGTATCAGTTGTCTACATGTTCCGCATCAGAATCCATATCAGGATAACCATCCGCCTGCAATGCCTACTCATCCCATATCTGCCCATCATATATCGATCTCTTGGGTACAGGTACCTACACCACCACCAGGAGCAACAGCAGGCGTCAACTTCCATGTCGAGCGCCAACTCCCTGTCTTGCCGCTCCTACCGAATGTGCTGGTGCAGCCATTGGCTTCAATATGTGTACCTGTAGTGGACGACTATCTAAATTACCTGAACAACCTTTCATTGCACAGATACACACTCATCAGAGCTGTCGTCGCTGCTTCGCTGCATTGCCTTCCCCTGCTGACCTTCCTTCAAGAGTGCATGATGTGTCTCGGCTTCACCATATGAGCAATCCTAGCCTTCCCTGCACGGCGAAAAAGAGATTCAACAGATGTCTCAAACCTAGCAACAGCCTTCGATATGACGATACTCACGAATCGGCGCGACTCTGGATGAGATCATTTTCGAAAAGCAGTTTGAGACCTCAGTCGCATGGCTATCGATGCCTGCTCAGAGAAACTCATGGAAAAAGGGCTGTTCAATGGCGCAGAGGAGAGGTGCCAACGATGGCGGACCTGATTGACTCGCTATCGCCGATGTGCTTGGTGAGCGGAGTGGAGATGGTCCTTTTTGAGATATGCTTGCGGTCCTCGTCTCCCTTGCCCACATTCATGGCTCTCTTGAAAGCGGACAAATGCTTTCTCGGTGTCTCCTCCCCCTCAGGTCGATTCATGTCTCCCAAAAATCCATAGAGCAACGCTGAGGCTCGCGTCCTTGACTACCAGTTCCAACATTGAGCCTCTCCACAAACATACTCAAGCGACTACTCGGTCTCGAAGGCCCCTGGGTCTGTACGCTGCGCTTCCTGAGGCTACCTAGGCGCGACGTTCCGAGAGCCACCTCTCGACCTCCTTTCATCATGCCCGTTGTTGCTTTTTTGAAAAGTTGCTTACCTGCAGAAGTATCTTCTGTGTTCGTCGTCTCGTCGCGCACCTCGCGGGGAATGGCGGCTGCTGTGGCTGTCATGGCCAACGAGCTTTGCGGATCCGATGCTCGATCCGAGTCTTGCTTGTGCGAAATGCTTCGGAGCTGCTTCTTCTGGCGGAGGACGGTGGTAGGTAGTCTGATATCGCAGGTCGGCCAGTCAATCGTTGAAGGAAGCAAAATGTTACCGTCTGTTCCTGGAAAGTCGCTACTGCGAAGTTGGACCACTGTATGACCCCGGCAGAATCCTCCCAGCCCTTCCAACGGCCAGCGATCGATGGACGCCGCGAATCTATCGAGGAACAAGTGCCGCGGAAGCGCCACGGCGGAGCTACTCATACCGACAGTCGCATTTATCATATTGCCAACAGAAATCAGCGAGCATGTCTTCTCTCGCCTGCTCCACTTGCTTCACTTGAAGACTACGCCGTGGTTCAGCGCACGCTGAATCGTTAGCGTGCTTTCATTCCGAATTCCGAGCATACCTCACAGGTTTTGTGCATCACGTTCACGCGTTTGGCTTTTTGAGGACATCTGCGACCAGAGCACTTCGCACTTGCGGATTGGCACAGGTCTGCTGACAGGTACTGCTATTGCATGATGAAGGCGCTGTGACCGCTCGTGGCTGGCATTTTCGTGTGTTTTGCTGCATATCGACATAACATCCGTATCGTGCTAGTCGTTTACTTCTTATACTACATGCTTGACCTGTTCGCACCAACAGATTAGCCCAACGCTCCCCGGCCAAAAGATGGTCGACTGGGGTCCTTTACTTCGAAGAAACGCTTCAGCCACCAGACCTGGAAGACACCCTCGCTGACGAGCACGCCGATCTGGAACAGGCTCCACCACTTGACCCGGGCATTGGTGCTCTCTGCAGTGTTTCGATGTGTGCGCTCCCGAACGACAATGTACCCTTGCTCGTCCTTGACTGATGCCATCAATTCAGACATGGCGCGGACTGTATCTCGTTAGCACCTTTTTCCTTGACCATACAATGCACATCTTAGAAAGTCTACTTACCTTCCTTATCCAACGGGTCTTGGGGTGCCTCAGTCTCAGGCACGTAAACGACGCCGTGCACGTTGAAGCTGACCTCCTTCGTATTCGCGGACCAGGCCTCGTTACTGAAGCAATAGGTGTACCGGCCATCCTCTTTCGCTTCAAACGTGTGGTCTCCTGCGCTGACGGCGAGATTGTGGACCTGATAGCCGATGCTGGGCATTTGTATCTGTAGTGGGAGCACTGAGTCAGCACATGTCATTGTGGTCATCCTTGTCCCGCCTGCAATGCCTTCCCACTACTCCCCGACGTCTCTCTGCCCTCCTCTTTCCTCCTAGGGACAAAAGGAGGAGCTCTTCTCCAACACCTTAGAGACATACCCAGAAATCGATGTCCAAATTGCCACTTCCTCCAAACTCGCGGTCGCCCACCTGGAAGGTGACGGTCATGCGATCGTCCTTGTGCAGGTTCTCGTGAAAGCACTCTCGGGAGTGAGCCCGCAGCAGGATGTTGTGCGCACTGCTGAGGCTGCAGAGCGACAGGACCGCGACTACAACGCTGAAGAGGACGGCCATGGTGGTGGTGGCAGTGGGCGTGGTGGTGTGTCGAGCGCAATTGACAAGCAAAGAAGCTGACGAGGTGGAACGTGTCCATCAGGTGTATAAGGTAAGGTAAGGTTAAGACCCCTACTTGGCAAAACGATGACAGGGGTGTGCCATGTCCGCTAGCCGACCGAGAAGTATAAACTTATAGTGTGCTTGAAGCCAAGATATATCGTATACCTGACCTTCCTTTGCCATATACCAACGCATTTTGTGTGTCAACTGGGGCGCTGTCGCGTGCCATGGATTTTACGTGCGAGATCCAAGAAGTGAATCGGGGGCAGTCGATGCTCCCACCTCCCTTGGGCAATACAGAGCAGACTGCTAGTCGAGATGAAGCTAGTCAGTGAGGGAGTGAGGGAGGGAGGGAGTGAGGGAGTGTGAGGGAGTCAGTTGAGTAAGTGAGTGGGTGAAGGAAGGGCACGTCGATGGATGTAGATGTAGACGTAGACGCAATCTGAAAGCGGTTGTCAGTTGCCATGGCGCTGGGCTTCACTTCACTTCACAGATGTCCGTCAACAATGGCAAGCAAGTAACCAGTCAGCCAGCCCGAGGAGGGTAAAAATACCAAGAACAGCAACAACAACATCCATCACACAAGCCATTTTACTCCCCTCCGCCGCAGTTCTCCTTCAAGCACACAGCAATGGGCCGCCTTACCACCGCTCTCGCCGCCTCGGCGACTCGCGCAGACAACCTGCCGGGAGATCTCCCAAATATCTCGATGCTTGACGTCCTCCTGCCTCGCAGTCTTGCCGGCTCTGGTGGCAAGCGCAAGGTGAGTTTGCATTTACCTCATTTCATTTCGCACGCAGGCACGCATCTGCCTCCCGTCGACGAATGCCAAACGCACCTGCAATGGCAATACGTCAGAATTTCTCGCTGCCTGCAGGGCATATACCGTCACTTCTTCAACCATCTGCACTCGGCCATCTCTCGAGCAACGTGCGCACGGCGATTGAGTTGCGCCACTCCATGATGTCCCTCACACTGTTTCCATTTCGTGCTATTGCACTTCCGAAGATGTACCTCGTTGACTCTGACACCGGCCAGCAACTCCAAAACTCAACTCCAGGGCTGTCTGCTTCCGCTGTCGGAGATGCCGAGATCAAGCGCGACTCGCGAGGACGACTGGTCATGGTCAGACACAGAGGCTCGGGCGTCTTCGGTGGAAGCGGAAGTATGACAGGCTCGGAGATCATTACATTTGACGACATCAGACGAAGCGTAGAGAAGATGAAGGAAGGTGAGAAAGACGACAAGAAAAGCGAAAATAGCAGCAAGAAGAGTGCAAAACCTAGCGTTAAGGGTGGTACAGAAGACAAGAAAAGCGAGATTGGTAGCAAGAAGAGTGCAAAATCTAGCGTCAAGGGTGTGTCAGACGACAAGAAAAGCGAGAATAGCAGCAAGAAGAGCGCAAAGCCTAGCGTCAAGGGTGAGGCGAACGACAAGCAAAGCGAAACTGGTAGCAAGAAGAGTGCAAACCCTAGCGTTAAGGGTGAGGTAAGCACCCAGCATGAATCAAAAAGCAATGGCTCTTTCACGGCCGCAGAGGACGCTAAGCTGAGGGAACTGAAGACCTCGACTGGTAAGCGGTCCAAGCCGTGGAGGGAGATCGCCGAAGAAATGGGGAGAGACATGGAACATCTGAAGAGTCATTGGAAGCAACTGCAGGCTGCAGACCAAGATGGCGGTGCCGCGGACAACACAGCCGAGAACAAGGCTGCTGATGCAAAAGCCGATGAGAAGAAAGACGACGGTGGCAAAGGCGAGAAGAGGGGCGGAAAGGGCGGTCAGCAGATGATGGACAAGTTTGTCTTCACCGAGGATCATGACAAACAGCTTAGAGAATTGATGGCTACTGGCGCGAACTGGAAGATTATTGCGAAGACCATCCACAAGCCACAAGATGCCTGTAAGAAGCGCTGGGAAGAGATTGGTGGCGACGCTGCCTCCAAGGACGAATCTCAGAAGCAAGAGCCAAATCGAAAAGAGTCACAGCAAGACGCGGCCAGTACGGGCCAGAGTGATAAGAAGGAGGACACGTCTATTGCCAAGTCCGACACGAAGAAAGAAGAGTACAAGAAGCCCGCCAGTATCAAAGTACCATCGAAAGCCGGGAGCGTACCCGGCAGCGTCCGTAGCACACGCAGCTCGGTCAAGTTCAGCATCCGTGAGTGGCGGACGCTGCAGGAGGATGAGTTCTTCACCTTTGAAGAATTGCAGCTGCTCTGCCAGTTGATTGGCAAGGATGGTGGAAGAAGCTGGTTGAGAATCGCGAGCGCCTTTCACGACAAGACTGGCAGGAGGGTGCATCCCGACGATATCAGGGAGAAGTTTAAAGCCTTGTGAGTGTGTTTGAGGAGGCAAAAATGAAGCTGGCAGTAATGGTAAGCACCGAAGGGGAGCCGAGGAGCACCTATGGAACACATGCTGCCCAGATTATTCGACAACCACCCTTAGCATCACTGCATGTGGGTAGAAGCATCTTCGTCTTGGGGATGACAAGAAGGAAGAATATCCAACGCAGCTGCGTTATCATCCGTTGGTAAGCACGTCGGAACGCCACAACAGGGTAGCTGTACGCAGTTCGCATCTAGCGACCCGACATTTTGACTGATCCTTTCAGGCAAATTGGCTGCTACCGACTACAGTATCGCAGCATTAGACGACGAATGAGCTTGAATCTATTGCACACCGTGGTAGCACGTCGATGGATTGATCACATGAATTCAAGCCACAATGCACAGGGCTGACACGCCCATGGCCAGCAATTAGGTCATCAGGTGATTCCCAGAGCAAAACGTATAAATTGCCTTCACCCGAGCGAGGACGAGCAGGTGAAGCATCGTCGTAGCTCGCCAGACATCTTCCCAATCATGCCTTTGACTACTGATCCGCAGACACTCGAAACGGCGCATAAACTAGTTAGCACCCTCAGGAAAGCCTTTGGTACTCCAGATGCGTATCGTCCAGGTAAACTTGGGGGGCATTATAGAGAGAGAGAGAGAGAGAGAGAGAGAGAGAGAGAGAGAGAGAGAGAGAATGTATCATACAGACAAAAGTAACACTACTGACAACGGTACATATAGCTCACGCCAAAGGCCACCTCATAAAAGGCACATTCACACCCTCTGCCGAAGCATCTTCCCTCTCCACAGCGCCCCACTTCCAAAAGCCCTCCTCCTCCTCCTCCTCCTCCCCTCCCATCCCCATCCTCGCCCGTTTCTCCAACTCCACCGGCCTGCCCACCATCCCCGACACTTCCCCCTCGGCAACTCCCCACGGCCTCGCCATCCGCTTCCTCCTCAGCGCCGACGGCCACCACCACACCGACATCATCACGCACTCGACCCCATATTTCCCCAGCCGCACGGGAGAAGACTTTCTCGACCTGCTCGAAGCCATTGGAAATAACACCGTGGCCGAATATCTGCAAGAGCACCCCGCTGCGGCAGCTTTTGTTCACGCGCCGAAACCTGCCCCGGAGAGTTTGGCGATGGAAAGGTTCTATGGGGTGAATGCTTTTAAACTGGTGAATGAGAGTAGTGTGGTCACTTATATAAGATATCGAATTTTTCCCCTTGAGGAGAAAAAGGAGGAGGAGGAATCTTCTTCCACACGATCGAAAGAAGAAGAAGAAGAAGAAGAAGACAAACTCCCTCCCCCCTCCAAAAAGAATGATTCATACCTCTTCTCCGATCTCCAAACCCGACTTTCCAAAACCCTTTCTTCGACGATAAAGTTTCAACTAGAAGCTCAAATCGCCGACATGGACCACGACATCGTAGACGATGCAACAATCCACTGGCCCGAGGAGAGAACCGTGGTTACCTTGGGGATATTGACGTTGGAGACGTACGAGGAGGAAGAGGAGAGTCTCCGGGAGCAACAACATGTGATTTTTGATCCGATTCCTCGAGTGGAAGGGATTGAGCCGAGTGAGGATCCGATCTTGGAGATGAGGGCGGCGTTGTATTTGATTTCGGGTCGGATTAGACGGCAGGCGGCGTGAAGGGGCAGACGGAGGAGGAGGAATAGGAGGAAGAGGGAGAAATCGGAGACGTGCCCCTGCATTATACCTAGGTCAAGTAGTAGTATCTAATCGATTGCGCTTCGAGCGCGTATGGTGGCGAGGCTCGAAGGAGGCTTCTTCCCTCGGAGCAGCTACATAAACATATATATAGTGTTCACATCTTTCCAGTTCCAAGTACTGGCATAAGACATATCTCTATGGACGAGTGCCAACTCCTATGTCGGCAGAACGTCTCGGTATGGCAATGCTCATGTAGAAGGCAGATGTTGCCAAATCCCTGGAGCTGGTTCTTACCCCTTCAATATGGTCGCGTCCGTCTACAGTATCGCAACCTGGCGTCTCTGCCCCAATAATGGTGGCGAGCGCATGGCAGTTCTCCCAAACATGATTTCTTCAATCATACTCGTGCTCATTATAGCCCGCGTCGTGGAAACTAAAAGTACTGGTCAGCCTGATACCGAAAAAGTGACTTTTGTCACTCGCAACTTACACATATTCCTCATAGGTCATACCACGCCAGACCCTTTCCGTGGTACCATCCGCGTTGACTTTAGTCAAATAGGGATCTGGAGTCGGTGTCATTTCTGACCAGACCTTGAACAGATGACGGAAGTAGCAGGTTTGTGCTGCAGGCGTGAAATATTGGTCGCGAAACTTGGCAGCAGCGTTGTCGGCGATACGCTTAGCCTTGGCGTTATCAGTCAACAGCGAGTCCATGGTCTGTGGCAGATCGGACCAATCTTTTTCGCAGCGCACATAGTTTTGCGTGGGACCAGAAGCTTCGAGCAAGTGGTATAAGTGAGTAGTGAAGGTCAGGGGATGAATGATGATGGTCGAATGGCAGCTCAGCAAGTACTTCAGTCGGCCCGACCACGACGTGCCCTCTGTATGCACGGCAAACTTGTACTTGCAGTGATCGGGCATGGAGATTCTCCATTTCGTGGCCTCTTCGTCGTGCACATCTTCTGCCACTTTGTGCACATCGGACCAAGCTTTGCCCTCACTCTGCTCGATCAGCTTCTGCCGGATCTCAGGGTTGAATTCGGTGGTGCCTCTCCAGACCAGCTTGGGCAGCTTGTTGTTGTAATCATCGTAAAAGTCGATAGCTTGGCGCTGGTAATCTCCATACGCACCCGCCACGCGAGGATATGCCCAAAAGTTGAAGTCGGGTATGAGCCAGACCTGCTCCATGGCCTTGTCGGTAATGTCGCGGTTGAAGTTCCACACGGTGGTGTTGGGGTGTTCCTCGGTCAAATCGATCCTATCGTTGATCTTGATGCTGAACTCAATGTTCGGAACGGGCTCACGCGCGCCAATGATGGCACGTTGTATTGCATGCAGCGTGGCATGCGATCTCTCTTTCCAGTGCAAGAAGTGATTGAGTCCCCGCGATTCAATCACGTACAGCTTGCCCTCCCAGATCATGGCCCGCAGGCCCCCATCGTTGCTCCATTTCAAGCCCCAATTGTCCTGAGTGAGCTTCCCGCCCGGACCCAAGCGGTTCTCCCAAAAGGCGCGAGAACGATCAATTTCGCGGTAGAGGTCGGGGAAGGCCCTGTTGCACTGGGCCAGCGTGAGAGAGTGGTCGTTGCGGTCTCGCTCGGCCACGAATCGCCATGAGGAGGAAGAAGCGGAGGAGGGGATGTCGGCGTATGGAATGGATATTGAGCGTGAGTGGGAGTGTGCCTGCCTGCTCCAGTATAGCAATATGAGGGCGCTAGCAGCCAATGTGGCCAGCAAGATGCCTCTGTTCGTCCTCAGGACCCACGACATGTCGGTGCCACGTGCGCGTCTACATGTGTACCTGGGTGCGCAGGGAAGCCGGCAGACGGAGGAGACGGACGGTGGATGCGAGAGGAGGGAGGAGGGAGGAGGAGAGAGAAGGGCGGTGGGCGGTGGGCGGTGGAGGCGGAGGGAGCTGAGGGAAGGGGGTCAATGTTGCTGTCGCGCCATCATGTTGCCTCCACAGTCGTTCCGCTCGACAGCGCGTGCACGTGCAACAGGAGTAATGCCGGTATAAGCTACCTTATTCAGCCCCCGGGTGTCTGAAAAGGAGGGAGGACGAGACGGCAAGAAGTGGTGAAACTGCCAAGCCTTTCAGCCCTGTGGGTGACGCGAGCTTACCGACAGGTGGGACTACTACATCTAACTCGAAGAAGAATAGTGGATTAGGTACGTGAAACTAAAATAACCATTGCATATGACAGCTTCAACCACCAAAAAGAGCTATATCACAACAAAAAGCACACCAAAAAACCCCCCTCAGAAAACCAATCATGGCTTCCCCTCCGCTGCCTGCTGGAAAAGTCGTCGAAGTCCTCGACACATCGACCAGCCGGGTTTATGCGCATCTGCACACGCTGCTGCTGCTCGCCATAGTGCCCGTCTCTTGGTCCAGTCTGGTGGCCGCACCCGTCAGCACTTTGCTTCATCTGGCGCCCACGACGCTCGTACTGCAGGCTCTATACTGCGCCGTCTGCCTCCCGCAGACCGGACAGCCCACAACATCAACAACAACGACGACGGCGACGGCAACGACAACAACAACAACGACGCCGTCGCCGCCGCACTCGAAACCCAAACCGCCCAGGCCCAACAAGTCCGGCCACAACAAGACCGCAAGAGCCGTCACCGCTACCGCCCTGCTCTCTCTCGTCCTCACCTTCTTCCTCGCCGCGCCGCTACTCTGCATCATCGCTCTCCTCTTCGGCGCCCCCCTCGTCTCGCATCAGCCTCACACGGCTCTCCTCGCCGTGCATCTCGCCCTCCTGACTACCCCGCATCTCTTCTACGTACACGGCCTCGACGCTACGGCATGGCTGCGTCTCGCCAGTTTGCAACAGCCGTACGATGAGGTCTATGGCCTGTCCCTTGGTGCCTGTGCTGGAGCGTGGCTGGGGGCGATACCGATACCGTTGGATTGGGATCGAGAGTGGCAAAAGTGGCCTGTCACTATCGTATGTGGCATGTACGCTGGCGCCGTGGTGGGAAAATTGGCGGGTGGATATCTGCTTAAAGGGTTCAAGATGAAGATGTTGTAGAGAGCGATGGGTGGGACATGGAAGAGAGGGAAAGAGAGGGCGAGAGAAAGGACGGAGATATATATATATCATTTACAAATCATGACTTTGTTTTCTCTCCTATATGCATGAGAGTGCCGTCCGTCTTCTGATGTACATCTTTCCCATGTGCCTCCCGCTATGCATGAATTATTTTGGGTCTCGTCAATACATTACTCGTCAATCCTGTCATTTCTCAGGTACATGATCTTTCGCGACCCGGAGTCGATCAGAGCAGGCCGATTCCAACCAACATGCCGCCCATCAGTGCAAGTCCTGCTGCGTACCAAGCCGATGGCTGTGCTGCGCCAGATTGAAGTTCAGGCTGACCTGTCGAAGAGGCGGCCGTCGTAGCGGGCGAGCCAGTCGCAAGTCCTACTTCTGCAAATGAAGTAATAGTAGAGCGCTGACCGTTGGGCAGAGTTGTCGTTTGCACGCGAACTTGGCTGACGACACCACCGCCTGTAAAGGATGAATATGAAATCAGCATGTGTCTCATCTACAAGTAGTTATTAGTGCAGGTGGGGAGTCGTACCAGGCTGATATGTCACAGTGGCGATGCGTCCACCAGAATCACGCGTTGTATATGTCGCTCCGGCTGAGGGCCTGTCAAACTGTCAGCTGGCCGTCGACGATGTCTTCATGAGGTCACGCGATTCGCAACATGGTATGTATGCTCTGCCACTCACCTGGACAGCACCACAGTTCCGCCTTCCGAATCTGTAGCTGTTACCACGTCTTCCGCGGTGACGATCACGCTGCCACCAGGGGCGACTGCAACGATGGGAACGGGCGAAGTCGTCACTATTGTCGAGCCGGCCGAATCTGTCTGCGTGATGATAGTGGCTGGCGCCATGGCAGACGTCACGACAGTCTGACCTTCAGAGTCTGTCGTGGTCAGCGCCACGGCCACACTCGTTTGGGCTGCCGTCTCAAATGCATTGGTCGTTGCGAATACAACGCTGCCGCCGCGGACCGTCGTGGACGTCACGATGGGTACCAAAATGCCCGTCTGGGTGATTGCCGATGGAATTGATTCGGGCAAGGGTGCGGTCGTTGCAGTGGACTGACCAGAGGCGCCGGTGGTAGCGACTGGAACTACAATCAAAGATGAGCCCTGCCCCTGCGTAATAGTAGAAGGCAATAAAGAAGAAGAAGATAAGACAGGGGATGCCAAAGCTGATGACAATGAAGAAGATGACTGGGACTGGGGGGACTGGGAGGACTGGGAGGATTGGGAGGACTGGGAGGATACGGCTGTGGTTGGAGTCGTCTGACCTTCGGCGATGCTGGTACTGGATGGCGCTGTGCGTGTTGTAGAGGACGCGGTTTGGGTGCCAATGCTCGTGCCAACCGCAGGCGGAGGCGCTGTTGCGGACGATTCTGTCGTCGAAGATACTGTTTCTGTACTGGAAGAAGGAGAGGACTGACCTTGGGTGGAAGAGGGTTCCGTCGTCGATTCTGTCGAGGCCGGAGATTCTGTTGTGGTCGATGGTTCTGTCGAGGCTGATGATTCTGTCGAAGCTGATGATTCTGTCGAAGCGGGCAGTGTTGTGCTTGACTCCCGGATAGCCGATGTCGTTGTCGTCGTTGGAATTGCCACTGTCGTAGCGTTGCTGTCTTGCCGCCTGCGCAAAGAGTCTTTTACACTCGCGTCTTGTCTTGCCAGATTCAGCAGCCGAGAAGCTAAACTAGCGTCCTCTCGGTGGACCGCAGCAATGGCCTGGTATCCGTCTTCGAAGACGCCCTCTTGATACTTGGATTCCAAGTGATTTTCGATGACAACCTTCAGTGCCTCCCCAGGCACAGTGCCGGCTTCTTGCCTCCATCCTGCAGCATCGTTCTCGCTCCCGCCGTCAACCCTGGGCAAATTTCGAGCATTTGCGATTGAAGCCAGAGGCAGGCTCAGTATAAGGGCAGATCGAAGTGACAGTATGGGCATCTTGCCGCGCCTCGTTCGTGAGAGTCGAGGTGTGTATGTGAGTGTATGGGTGGGTGTGTTGTTATCGCGTGGAGCAAAACCTGGAGATAGCGTACGTCCGTCCGTCCGTACGTAACGTACGGTGGCTGGCCGTATAGGTGACCACGATACGCCTCGTGGCTCGCTGGTGAGGTGCGTGTCCTTTCGCTGTCTCGCTCCAAACCCGTCTTAAACACTGCCGTAACAGAACACAGCCCTCGTCTGCCTTGTACCGTCTACCCCTTCAGAACGTCCATTGTCCACGGGAAAAGAGGATTTTCCACGGGAGGGAATCATGATAAAAATAATAAATAAATACCTGAACCTTTCCGCATAGTCGTTGGGACGGCTAGTAGATGACGAGGCGAACCCACCCAGGTTCTGGTCAAGTCAAACAGGTCTTTGATACGAACGCTATGGGTGACGCTAGCAAAGATTAGCAATGCTTGATCGTAAATAGCCAATAATAGCCTGGTGTGGCGCCGAGTGCTGCTGGCCTATATTCCGCTGTGACGCTGTATACGGCCCTTCCTGGTGATGATGCGTCCATGGCATCCGAGGGCGAAGGATGGTAAGTAATGTAAGGTAACTGCAACAATGTCTTGCGCAGACCCGACGGGGGAAATTGGTCGTTATAGGAGATAGGAGGTACATGAGGAGGAAGGGAAAAGGGGACAAGACACCAACGGACCACCCTCCACGGTGACTCCACACACACACCCAGCACCCAGCCTCCTACCAACCATTGTTTCGACCCTGGGAAAAGGCCAAGAGATCCATCGGATCGGATGCTCGGCACCCGCCTGTATGTGGACTCTGGACTCAGTGGAGACTGTAGAGTCACGAGTGGGCCCGTTCCTCAGGTTTAGCTTTCCCTCTAGACTCTCCCAAGCCGGTATTTCTAGTCTTTCTCTAGGAGGTAAGGTAGTGTTACGAAAAGCCTTCTAGCAACACGTGCCTTTGTCCTATAACCAGTACGTAACTAGTACATAACTAGTACGTAACCTACCCCTTAGCACGTACGGAAGGGATATATATAATAGTTTCTATCTTAAGTTAGGTAGAAAATTATTATCTTATTAATACTATAACAGATTAGTAGTACGGAAATTAAAACGTCCGACGACCTTACTAGCCTCTCTATAGGTACTAGCTTCTAGAGTACTAGTCTTCGGACGTACTTAAGAAACCCGCTACCTACCTAGTTACTTTTTAAGAGTATATATCGAATCTCTCTAAAGATAAGGTTATACTTATCTAGAGATTTGCCCTATACGCTCGGAGTACGCCTCGAGGCGTACTAAAGCTATTAAAGACGAGGCTCCTCGAATTTCTAAGCCTCTATCTCGCTCTAGAAGACCTTTACCCGGATTTAAAGTAGATAGACGATATACGTTTTAAGAAGTAGGTATAAGCTAGAGTTATAGTATTACTCGATTAAAGCAACCCTCCGGTATAGTTACCCGAGTCGCTAGTAATAGCTACTATCCTCGTAGGTACGTAAGTACTATAGTATACGACCCTACTAGTCGCTCCTAAGCGCTATATCTCGTTTGCTCCTACTCTATAGAGTATAGTAAGTACGCCTACCTAGAGAGGAACTTCGTCGGAACGACTACCCCTACCGGAAGTATAACTAGTAGGTACGACGAGCGTACCTACCTAGAAAGGAACCCCGCTAGAACGCCTACTCCTTCCTATATCCCTACAGCTATAAGCTTAGAGCGACTGCCCTCTCCTATCTACTCTAGTAGATAAGGGAATCGTTACTCCTACTATATCCGCCGCGCCTATACTAGTACGTACTATACCCGTCCCTTAGAGGACTACCTCCGCTCCTTAGAAGGGCTTTCCTACTACTTAAGTCAACCCTACTGCTTAATTTACTACGCCTCTACTATAGCGACCGGTACTAGTACCTTAGAGGCCTACTCGAGGAACCCTATTATTACTCGGGACCTAAGGCTCTACTATATAGCAGGTATAGGACGTACCTAACCGAATACCGTCGCCGTTCCTAAAGAAGGCTAAGTTACCGCTAGTAGGACCTATATAGACCAGATCCTCGTACGCTAGCTAGTCCTCTAGACTAACTACGTCGTCGTCGATATAGAGCTAGCAAAACTATAGCAGAGAGGAATTTACGCCTATAACCGAGGAGATCGGTCGTAGAACGATAGACTTTACTCCGGAATAGCTTACTCGGATTAGGTAGATAATCTAGGACGTAGTCGGCCGGGCAAATACGCCTAAGATTAAGAGGCTAGATACGCGTACGCTAGTATAGCGTAACGCTAAAGTTAGATTTTTCTACCCTAACTATAACGACCCTTAGGTAGGACAAGTTATTACGGTCGGGTATAATATAGTATATAGAGATATATATACCTTTATTAACCGCTTAAGGGACGCCGTAACCTTTAGAAGCGAGCTACTAGTTCGCAATCGGATACTAGTACTCTTACGTAGTAAGGCTTAGTAGTAGTATACGACCGGACTCTCTAACCTCGAGAAAGCTAGTTTACGAGCCTCTCCGATTAAGTACTAGTACTCGAAGTTACGGGACCTATTTAAGCAACTATTATAGGCTATACTATAGAACTTAATACGCTATAAGTATACGCTAGCAAACGCGCGCGACCGTCGACCTGCCTACTTATACGTCTACGACGTAATTCGGAATACGAGGGACGCTAGTATAACGATAACGATATAGTAGCTAATATACGTATACGTATAGATAGACGTATTGCTATATAGTACTCTAACCGAACCTACCGAAGGAACCGGTATCTCCGACTACGTCTATACGATAGATCGGCAATCCGAGACTTAGGTATAGCTAGCAGCTATATAGATACGTAACCTTCCTAGCTCCTCTCGGCCGTAGTTAGGTAATTCCCTATATCGACGACCCGGTATATAGTAGTACTAGGACTCTAGACGTCCGTAGACTAACTAGTACGACTAGCGAGGCTACGCCCTATATACCTACGATCGCCTCTAGCTAGACCGAGCGCGTACTGCTCTAGCTCTTACTATATCCCGGGAACGACTTTAGCTTACGGATAGTAAGCAGTCTATAAGCAACGCCTAGACCTCCGATAGTAGGTAATCGAGCGGGTAAGGGCAAGAGCTACTAAGGCTATTTAAGGTACGTAGCGGGTACGTCGACGTCCCGGAGAACGAACCTAAGGCGTTCTAGGGAGACGAAGAGCCGGCGTACGACGAGTACGTAGGCGAAGAGCCCGACAATATAGATAAAGAGCTAGTCGAAGTAGATACGTAGTACCTATAGGAACCTAAGAGCCTACTACTACTAGAATGCCTCTACTATTATAATTAATTTAGTTCGGGAAATCGTCTATATAAGTACGTTAGAACGATAGGGTATAGCAAGTCGAAAAATTAACGGCTACCGGACCCTATAAGCAAACGGAAGCTCTGTAATATATAATAGTCGAGGCCTTACTATTACCCGGCGGAGCCTTAGAGCATATATATATAGACAGCGGTAACCCGATTATAGCGGTTAGCCTAGACTTCCTTATACGGTAGAATTACTAGGGAAATAGTCGACCTTCCCGCCTACGGATAAGAGGTATCGGCGATATAGTCCTAGCTATAATAGTATAATATCAACTTACTCTATATATTAAGACTATATCGGGCGAAGCGGTCGCGACGTTCTAGGTATACGTATTGCCCGGATTAAGACCGGCGCTTCTAATCGGAGTCGACGTAATGCTCGAACTCTAATAGAAGATAGATTTCGAGAACAGACAGTTATATTTGTATCTAGGCGTATCTACGCCGCTTACGCTAAAGGTACTAGTACCGCCGTCTACGATAGTACTAGGACCTAAAGATATAGTAGTAAGGAACGCGACTATAGTTACTATTAACTCTAGAGTTATTATTCCTATATTAGTATATATACTACCGGTACTTCCGGACGGCGTATAGATGTTCGAGCCGGAATAGGAAGGATTCCTTATAGTACGAATCGACGACTATACTAGGTTCGTACTAGTCTATAATAAGACTAGGCTTTAAATAGTCCTCGCTACTAGACTCCGGTTAGAAACAATTAGGGTTAGTACTAGTACGGAATAGACCGAGGTCTACTAGACGGAAGCTATATATTCGATATAGAATACGTACTTTGCCGAGTAGGCCGAGTAAGAATATAAAGTATATATAACGTTACTCGACGAAGGCGCCGAGGCTATACTACTATAGCCGAAGCAACTCTATAAGAGCCTAAGACTAAACTTATCGCAACTATATAGTAGAGGTCCGTTCGGCGCGACGATCTATAGCAACGAGGCAATACGCGTATAGTACGTAGAGGTACTACTATAGTACCCTCGCCTATTTATAGACGACGGTAAGACAGCGGATATCCCTAAGGAGGAATAGATAACTATCCTACTCGTAAACGACTAGAATACGGCGGGCGCGAAGCTAGTATATAAGGTCTACCCGCTAGGACCTAAAGACTACGAGGTTGTCGATAGGATTTATAGTAAACTCTACAAGCAGGGACGGATAAGCTAGACAAAGTAACCTACTCTGTTCGGCTTTCCGGTCTTCGTCGTATAGCGTAAAGTTAATAGGAAGAGTAAGGGCCGAGCGGTCGTTAATATACGAGGGCTAAACAAGGTCGCTACTATAGATATATACCCTATACTACTGTAGAGCGATATTATCTAGAAGGTTGCTAGCGCAAAGCTAATATCGGTAGTCGACTACGCGAGCTTCTTCTACTAATTCCCGGTAGCGAAAAAGGATCGCTATAAGTTAACTATTATATCGTACTACGGATAGGAGTAGTATAACGTAGCCGTTATAGAGTATAAGAACGCCCCGGCGTACGCTTAACGCTAGATCGATAGTATACTCCGTAGAGCAAGCTACGGACATTTCTCGATAGCCTTTATAGACGATATTGTTATATAGGAGAAGGAACTAGAGGCATACCTTCGTAACCTCGATACTCTCTTTAGAAACCTTAACCAACGCTCTCTAACGCTGTTAGGAGAAAAGGCGTTCCTTAGGTTCCCCTCTATTACGTTACTAGGACAGTACGTTAACGGACTTAAGGTATCTATATCTAAAGAAAAGCTAGTAGCGATTAATATACTTACTTTCCCGAAGACGGTCGGGGACCTCGAGATCTACCTTAGGCTAACGGGATAGCTCCGGTATTATATCGAGTACTTTGTATAGCGCGCGGAGCCGCTATAGCGTTACAAAACCGAGAGACTTAAGGAGGTACCTAAGTTAAGGTATACTCGGAAGCACTATACGAGTACGGCGAGAATCGAGCTAATACCGGACCTAATAGAGTTATTCCGAGTAGTCTAGGTATAACACGCTAGGGCAGAGAAGCCCTAGCGAATCCCCGGCGAGGCGGGCGGGGCGTACCGCGCGGGACGGGAAGCCCTTACGGACCCCCGGCGATCCGGTATAGAAGGGATGCCCTACCGATCGGAGACGTTCTGAATTAAGAGGGTTCCTAAGGGAACCGGTTATCGGCTGCTGCCTAAGAGGAGGCGGTGCCGGTAGCGAGGAGTAGACAATAGAATAGCTTAT